CCAGTTTCTACTCAACAGGGTTTGAAATGCCCCTCCGGAGTCTTCCACGCCTTTTCTAACGAATTTCACTGGTACTAGACCTTCTACTAGGAATAACCGGTCTATTAAACGTCAAGCTCATCCAGCCGGTTTGTGGACCGTCCTCTGGACCATGCCAATTTTCTACTCACGCTCTCTTAGGCAGCGTTCAGACTCCACGACGACGCGATCGATGCGGTTGAAAGTACATGCATCGATCGCTTCTAACGCGCGACTGAAGCGCTGCCTTCGCGAATTCTTAACGCCTTCCTTACGTGGGTAATGTCCTGTGACCTTGTGCCCTTGTACATTCCAAATCTTCACTCTGATATGTGATTCGCCCACCTCGGCCTCCCTGCGCTTGATTACGTCTACCTCCGAGTTTATCATGAGTTCTTTTGCATCATCAAGTGCTTTGGCAGGTGCTGTTCCTTTTTAATCTGCGGTGTAGCCCTTCGTAGTACGAGTACGGCAAAATAGGAAATAATATGTAGTTGGGAGAGATGGGAGGGGTACGCAGCTGCCCGACCAGGGACCATCGCTGGGAAAACATCATCGGGAGTCGTAGTGGAAAAAATTTCGGGAGATCGCACTGACACCACCATTTTAGCTCAATGCTTGACCCTGTGCGCGGCTTGACTAAGTCCTGTCCGCTTGTCGTTGCCTTGTCACCGAGGTCTTCCAATGGTTCATGGCATATTTCGTACGGAAAATCGATTGCGAATGCGGATCTCGGAAGGAACGTACTGTTATACAATTTGTAAGGTTTGAAAAGGACGTGGGAAGGCAGAAGTATGTCAACAAAGGAAATTAAGTGGCACGGTGGCCTAGCCGCGTACACGTCCCACCCCCTCCCAGCTGCCTTTACCCGCCGAAGCTTAGAGCAGTCGCGTAATCCACCCAGTTTAGGGAAGGGGATATGACGCGTTTTCCTGAGGATTTCCATAATAGATGAAAACTGCCCAGATCTCATTTTTTTTATTTCTGACTATTAACATAATCATAAATTGTTTGGAGATGTATTGGAAAGTGCTAGGCGTCGACTTAGGGGGGGGGGAAGGGAGGCATTGTGTTAGCTTCTGTCAACCTCATTTTGTTAAGACCTCTGAACCCTCGTAAAGCTGCGGAATGGGTATGACCTTCATTCCAACACTAGTCGTTTCCCTTTATTGTTTTTTGTTGGACAGCATTTAGTGCTGGAAAGTGTAAAGAAAGTAAAAAACAATTTTGAGCCACGAATTAGTGTTTTGCATGGGCCCGGGGAATGTGGGTGCCGAGGGGGTGGGCAGTGGTAGTATGTGTAGCGCACATGAAATGGGGAGAACCATGAGAAGTCAGCGACCGAAACAGAGTTCCTCGCGGCTTGGAAAAATTTCTCTCAAGTCCAGATACGACCCCACCTACCAGATACGATCCCCTTGGGGTTTTGCAGAGGTCTCATCCACACTCTTTTTCCCCTATTTCGCCAATTAGCGCCTCAATATGTTGTAATTTTGTAATAATATTTTTGTCGCGTTGTAAATACGACATTCCAACTCTGACTCATCACGGATTGCTCTGACGATGTATTTTTCCTCGCCTCATATCAAGGATAGATGTCTTGGTCCAAATGTTGATGAAATGACCGTTATATTTTGGAATCGTCGAATAATTTGTACATGTTGGATTTTAATCTGTGCTGTTGTAAATAAAGGCATGTTCTTGTTTGTGTACTGTTGGGAATAAATAAAAAAGAGCAACAATACGAACTTGACGTTTGCCTGTATTCGTCACAGTTTCGGCGGAAGTGGTACTTGATCTTATTTAAGTTCGTGGTTTTCTTGTTTAAATGTAGTCAGTATACTCATCTCAGCTCTATCTATACTCATCTTTCTTTGCGTAGCGACTGGGTGGGAGCACTTTACTGGTTTACATCAAACACGGTCGATGCCGCTTCTGGGGACCTGCAAATTCCTGTAAACTTATGCAATAGCGCGAACTTCATTTAACTTGGCAAGTGTGTCCAGGTTTCGTCAAGAGCAGACGTGTAATTCAAGACGAAATAACAAAGCGAACTAGCGAAAGTGCAAAATGCCCCCTCTAGGCCGAACAGCGCCAACTTTCATTTGCCTTTGCACTTTGTTCTACTGTGAGCCACTTGATAGTTGAACCTAATGTGTTTTGATTTTTTTATGCTATTGAAACGGTAGGCAGGTTAACGTTGATAGTGTGATGGGTGGAGCGGGCGCGCGGTAGGCGTGGCTACACCACGGTTGGCTATCCCAAATACTCCATTATTAGCGAGAAAGGATAAACTTTAGTGACCACTGCTTCCGATGGGCTTCCGTCTGAAGAAAGGGTTTTGTTTTTTCAGGTGTTTTGGCGATTTTGTCCTACAATTTATTGGAGGTCCCACACAGGGTAGATTGAGCTTCGCTCACAGCGTACGACCTTGGCAAACTTGGCGCATACGCGACAAGGTTATGGGGCGTATCAATAGGGAGAGTGGGCGAACTGGGCACGGGTCCAGCGCCATCGCGAGAAACATTAACTACCCATCGATTTCGCTGACTCCGCCCAAGTGAGAAGGGAGAACGGGCGAATATGGTGTTTCGCCTTATCGATTGACTGGTTCTCCATTCGACACGGCAGCGTTTAGACTTCGCGATGACACGCGTCCGTGTTGTAACGCACTGTAGGGAGAGCACAGAAGAATAGGAGGGTAGGCTTTGCTTCTTGAGAAAGGAGAAAAACCTCCGGGAGTAGTAGAAGAAGAAGACTGCCTGGTATTGATGGGCGTCGTTTGCTTGTGTTCCGAGAGTATAAAAGGACAGGAGGGCACCAGACTGTGTGATCAGGCAGCGCCTAATCTCCCATTAGCCTATACTCTCTCAAAACTTCAGGGCCCACGCCGATCGATACCCGTCCATAGCTGAGTCCCCATCTATAGCACTGGATCGCTGTTCTGGTCGTGCCAACGCATGTTACAGCGCGTTAAACGCGAAAACGCGCGCGTGATCGCAAAGTCTAAACCAAAACGATTTAGCCGGATTCGCTCGCTCAGTTCGCCGACATTCCTGTCGATTGACATGAAAACCTTTTCGCGCATGCGCTTCTTTCGCCGAGTTCGCAGGGTCGCAGACCGAGAACAATGGCGTTTCGTATTTGGTCACTGGGGAGAGGGGGGAGTGGGTCGTATTCGGCGTTGGAAAAAAAATTGGGCCTAATTGTTGATCTTCCGGGTTTCACGCCCGCGATATATCCTTGCTCAACGACAGAACTAGGGAAAATGGGGAAAATTCGATTGGGGAGGGGGTGTGGGAGAGCGCGCGGATTCTACCGTGATCCCAGTACCACCCACCCCACCCTCCAGTGTAAATATTCATTTAACTGAGCGAAGGACAGCAATGGCTAATGAGTGAGGTTCGCCTTCGCCTGAACGGGCCTGATTTCGGGGTTTCTGGTTTTTGATGTCGGCGATTTGGCTCCATGGCTATCACCAGCAACATCGACGCCTAGTTGTCTTGTCCGATTGCTAATTAATTGATTCGTCAGCTTCTCTGACAGGCTGCAACAGTTATGAACCAGTTATGCAGACATTGTAAGTATGGAAGTGGTCATAAAACCAACGGATTGAGCGGGGCAATAAAAAGTTGCGATGTAACTGTAATGCGTTGTTGTTTCTTCTAGAAACAATGAACGAAAACTGGTAGTAACGACTTATATTACCAGTAAACGGGAGAAGTATTGCTAAGTTGGTGAGAGCTCTTATGACTCCCAACTGGGCAGCTTTTTAGAGCTTTCCCTTCACTTATTTCCTAGCTTACCGCGATTTTTTCGACGTCTCAAAGGAATAGGTGCTGTTCGGCTTAGGTGGGGCATTTTGCACTTCCGCTAGTTCTTTTTGTCAGCCCACGTTAATTACCATCTGGAGAGACTTGTAAACTCTCGTGAAACTATGAAAAGATATAAGTGAGCCACTTATTAACAGAATCTTC